AAGTGGTTAAGCTTGTTCTACATGCAGCTGAGCTCTGAAGACAAATGACACTGCATTCGATTTGGATGCTTCCATATTTATTTTAACAGATAAAATCAGAGCAAACATGTTTCCTTGAAGGTGCTCTTTAATGATCTCATTACTGTAAGAAAACATCACCATTTTTAGTCTCAGATAAGGAGTCTCAGGAGTTTTGTCAAATTGTCCAAAGACTAAAATGTTGTTGACTCAAGGAAATCGTACATTTCTCACTGCAGTATCATTTATGGTCTTATTGTACTTGTGTTTATTAAACAGCAACCCCGACGGTAGAAGAAACTACCGGTAAGAAATCTGGCCGTAGTATGTTTACTTGGATCCAGTTATAGACATCTATGCCACATGCAGCAATATTGCTGCTACTGTTTCTGCCGAGCACCATGACTAGCTTTCGTAAAAGGAGCGTGTCATCATTACTTCATTTACATCTCATGAATACGGCTTTTCCAGGCTTTTGTCCACATACATGAAGCACCGTGGAAATGGGTTTCTGGCTGGTGCATGTGCATGTATGCACTGAACTGGCACTGTCACATCAATGCACATTATTACACATAGTATAGTAACGTATGTGTATTCTCCCAAGTCTAAGGCGCAAAGCATCACCGTTTCAAACCCATAATGCCACTGGAGTGCCAACGGGATCCCTATCAGACTGACAATGGGGCCATCGTTGGTGAACAACCCAGTGAAGGAGACCAAGATCATTTGATAAAAACAGCTTGGTGAGTTCAGAGTGAAGGACAGATGCTTTGAATGTTTTTATGTTTTTATTTTATTCAAAAAAAGTGTCAGGCTAGAACGTGCAGCTCAGGCGTGCATGCCTTTGTATGAAAACATACTCAAGAAACCAGGTCCTGTGAGGTCATGACATTTTTCATTTCTATGGTGGTGTGCAATTTAAAAAAGCATTTCTGCGCGGCACCACCAACAGTACAAACATGGACAGTTTTTAAAAACCCGCAGAACTGGTCCACATTTTTATCGCACTATTACTATTTATTCAGAAGTCACAGTGCCACTTTACATATATAACTTATTATTTTTTCAGCACCGCTGGGGTTGATCTTCAAGTGGATACAATGTATTTTCTGTTGTTTCTGAAAACATTTTACATATTCACCATGCTACATGTATTTCATATCTCTTAGATTTGCATAAGTATGTTTGTTTATGTTTTAACATTTAATGTGGGGTAGTGTAACTATTTTTTACGAGGATGTAATGTGCTCTCAAACGGGCAGGCCCTGAGGAGGACACAATACGAATTTCTAAAAGCAACTAAATTTCTGTTATTTACTTTCTTTCAAGTAAGATATTCAAGAATTAAGTGGTAAATCCCATTTTATGTGATTTTACTAATATTGTAACCTGCATTGTAATCAAGAGATCAGAGGAAAGTATACTTGCTCAGACTAACTTTTTGTGTGAATTCATTTCCTAGATCTTTAAAGGAGTAGACTAAAGTGACCATTATTCAGTACCTTGAGCCTGATCAGCAGGAGTGGGCTGGTTGGTAGGCAGTGCAGCAGTACTGTTGGGTACTGATGCAGGTGGCTGACTGATGTTGAAGATAGGAACTAATGAATGCCAGTAGAACACTGGTACATGGCCTGGTGGAACAATGCATGGCCACACTGCTGGTAAACAAGAACAACCTGTCAATGGACTGCTCAAACACTGTAGATAACAAAGCATTTGCTACATTATATTTGTTCTTCAAAAAGCACATTGGTTCTGTGTCTCTTGGAGCACAAAAGAAAGAGAGCATACACAACGTGAATATGATGAATTGATATTTGAATTATTTGCACTCTACTCACATAAGCCTTTTAATATGCATGCACAAGTGGGTGTAGGCACATGTTACCGGTACACTGTTATAAAAGAGTTCTTTTCTCAGAGTCCAAGTACACCGAAATGTTACATGTATGTGTACATATAACATCATGTGAAACTCAGGCTGAGAAACCAGACAGTGCAGTTGGGATCACATGTACACTGCACAGCTTTTGATACTTCAGCTTTTGATTTACAACTAGAAAGTTGAAGAATTTTGGACAAGACAATGTCAACTGGCAAACACTCGGGAAAGGACTCAAACTGAAGTCTCAATCTTTTTGGTAAATCACATGTGTGTAATCACACTTCTCTTCATTTAAATACTCCATCAACATTGCCTTGGTTTTACGCTCAACTCCCATTATAATGTACATGGATGTGGGTGATTCACATTAGTGCACCTCCACTAGTTTGCAGTGTATTGACCAAGAACAATGCATGAAATCTGTTGACCCTTTCCACATGCGCAATGGGTGGACAGATTTTGAGCACTGTGATCAGTCAACGCGTTGCAAACTCTTGAAGACGCACCACTGTGAAAAGCCTGCAATGTCTAATATAATCAAAGGTGGACTGTAGCCATTTAATTTTCTGTTGTACTGCACACATGCATAGTAGACCTGTGCAGTCGCTGGTCTTCACAAAAATACACTCAGTTTGGGATGATACTGATAAATTCAAAACATTAGCACCAATTTGTATGTCACTAAACGCAACTACAACACTCACATCTTATAAAAATCAAAAAATGTAAAAGAAACCCTCTTTGGTTATTTACATGTAATTTGTACAGTTTGAATATTTTTCAGACATGCTGTGTAACAAGTACAAAAAGTAGTAAAAATGTACCATTCTGTCCAGCATTGCCACCAGGATTGTTCCCTGCACCTCCCTCCTTCCCTGACCCATTTCCATCTTGATTTCCAGCAGGTCTCACTGCTAGAACAGAAGATGAAGCCTGGTGTGTTGCCTGTTGCTCAGATGGAGACTGGTTTTGAGGTCCATTGCTGCCTTGTCCAGCTGCTTGAATAACTACTTGCCTCTTCCCAGATGCCTCAAAGAGAGTTACTGGGATCATCACCTGCTGTGGCGGTGGCAACAATGGCTGATGTGTCTCTGACCTCTCCTGGGCCACTACTGGAACTTTGCTTTGAAGTCTCTCAAATTCCATGGTCAGGTTGGTTCTAGGAGAATGAGCTTTATCATGAGCCACTCTGGGTAGGGTTGCTGCTTTCACATCAGTGATAGGACTTGTTTGTGTTTCCTGGGCACTTTGCCAAGCTCCTTGACCCTTGGGTGCTAACAATGCAGCCCTCAGTTTATTCTCAGGAGGGGATGGGAACTCAAAATAGTTGGTGCTTGATTGGTGGTGATAGCCCTGTGCAGTCTGCTGTCTAGATGCTGGGGGTGACATGATGTTGGGCGGGGAGATGACATGGTGTGATGCAGTGTTGTGACTTGGGGAAGGAGTGACATTCATGCCATGGTGAGCTGGTGTGGGTGATCTGGTACTGTGCATGCATTCCACTCCAGAATCATTACTGTCACTTCTAGCTACACTTATTTCATGTGACTGGTTGCGTGCATGCTCCATGCGCATTTTTAACTTATTTGGGCTGACAGGGGTAGCAAAGCTGTGAGTGTTTTGGAAGGTAGGGGTAGCACTTGCACTGTATTTGGGCAGACCTGGTGAGGTAATGTCTATTGATGATCGTCCGGACAATGGCGTACTTGCACTCCAAGGGGTAGGTGTGCCTTGTAAAGACCCTGACAACTTAGATATTGGAATGAATGTTTGGGGTCTATGTGAATTGAAGTGGGCAGGTGAAGGTGTCTTAGACTGAGAGCGAGGAGAATGAGGCACTGATGACTGGCATGGTGTACAGGATCTGGAATTTCCTTGTGACAGGCCTAGAATGATGTTGGCTGCTTCCGCTTCATCCATGTCAAATTTGGAGGGATCTATCTGTGGCCTGGAATCTGAAATCCAAGTTGAATAAAAACAAACATTTGCTGGATTAATGTTGAAAAACCTGAAACTTGATACAGAAGTGAAGACCATAATTGTGATTTACATGTATAACTTACTACCATGTGATCTATGTGATCCATGTGATGTACTTGCAGTCACACTGCCAAACTTCTGCCATCCAAATTTTAACTTTGAAACTGTGAACTTTCTACCCATGAATATATATTGGGCACATTTTTTCCTAAATGCAGATGTGCTACTTTAAAGCAGGTACAGGTACTGTGCATTATTATAAAGGGTTTCTGTGATGAACTTTTCTTGCATGCACTTTCTGAGATTGAAGTTAATTTCGTCCCCTGCATCAAAATGACCACAAAGATGTACGCGTAACCTAGTAAACTGCATTGTTGACTGGCAAAAACTATTTAGCACACGTGCATGTACACCTACATGTACCTGTTCGAAGACTGGAGCTGCGAGAGTCACTATCCCAATCAATATCACTGGTTTGTCCATCACCTAACACCCCTTTGCTCTTCATGTATGAGGACAGATGTCTGGAACAATACCCACGGCGTTGGGACTCTTTATTGCAGCCTTCCTTTGAGCAAAGCCTTCGCCACTGTTTACCATTATATTTCTTGCGTACACCATTGGGATTACACACTACATCACCTTTCTTATATTTGGGTGATGGGCTGACAGGAGAAAGCGAATAGGTCCGACTTGAAGCTATGGATGCCATGGAAGCTGTGCTAGCACCACTAATGTGACGTTTACGATCAGCCAGATTGGATGCTTTTTGACAGTCAGATTCACTGGAGTAGAGGGAGGATGGGGTATTAGTTGCAGACACCAATGGCTGAGGTTTACTGTCAAAGTGAACAGATTCCTGCTGGAGGTCATCCTCGGAATCCATGGCATGCTTAGCAGTCTCCACTGGATTGTCATGGTGTTCAGTGTTAGAGACAGGTTGTTGAGATTGTGGATGAGGACTATAGGAGAGTTGACGGCTTGGAGGCATTGGACAGGGAGGATCTGGCCCCCAAGGCCAACAAAGCAGACGTAACTTCCATAATGGTGTCACGATCTTCTCCTCAGGTCCGGTGGCATTGATGGCATGTACTTCATACTGCTGCACTGCTACTTTGATGCCTTTGACAATGGCCTCTATGTAGGCTCCCTGACCAGGCGTTCTCTGAACCAGAATCTTAGAGCCAACACCCACTTTGGTACACGAAGGCACCTTATCACCAACAATTTCAACATTCTCATTCGATTCTGAAATTGGGTAATATTTAACACTCTTTTCATTGTCAAACATGACCCCAATCTCTTTATTTTTGCGCTGTTGCTTGATGATACCAGGATAGAAACCATTTTCTCTCTTTGCAAGCACACGATGGCCTCTAAACTCTTTCAAATCAACAGCCACTTTTTTTGATGGAGTAGCAGTGTCAGGAAATGAGGCTTTTCTTTTCACTCCAGTGATATTTTCTGCAGTATTCCTGTGGGTGGCAACATCTGTACTTGGAGTTTCTATGTCTTCGGGTACTGACACATTACTCAGAGTACTTTCATCATCCGAACTCACATCACTTTTCCCCTCACCCTTGTTTTGCTGGTTTTTCTTCGCTCCTTTCTTTGGTGGGGGGGAACCACTGGTGCTTGGGGTAGATGGACCAGATTTATCTTGTAAGTTTCTCTTAGGAGATGATTTTCCATTGGTTCGACCTCTCCTGGACCCAATGGCAGAATCTTGATTGAAGTCTTCCGTTGGTTGAAGTCTGACCTCTGACAAGCCTCTGATTCTCTTGGCTCTTACGGGAGAGGATTCTAATTCAGGCTCTGGATCTACTGGTGGTTTCTTACCACGCTTTGGTCTGTCAGCTTTGCGATTCATTTCAGTTAGTTTATGTAGTATACACTGCACCTGAAAAAAAGGGTAACTTCAAAATTAAAAAAGAGGTAAATTCAACTCAGATTCAGTGACTGATCATGTACATATACTCAGCCAATGCTTGTGTGTACTTAAAATAAGACTAATGACCTGTATCACCTGAAACATCTTGCAATTCAGAAGTACATGTACATACTAGTATGCATGTACCACATTTACTTACAAGGATTAATATTTGTAGACACACATTTCCTACAACTTTATACTCTTACTCAGTGTACATGCATAAAAACTACCACTATTTGATATTCCCATTGCGTCAAATGAATTGAAAAGTGCATTTCAAAATTCTCCATGCTTTCCAGAATTGAGGGTTTTTCCTGTTACTGTGATGTCAGTAACAGGTTAAGTGCAGGTTAATTTTTTTTTTACTCAAACCCAAAAGTTACTCATGGAAAAAAAGCTTGACTGCTGTCTTACTGCTACAAGAACACTAACAGGTATGTTCTTGTGACCCACCAAAGTAAACCAAATTTAGACCAGCAAGAATAACATCCAATAGTTCTTGTCCACAAACTAACGTAAACATGAGGTTTTTGACAGGATGACATCACATTTTTGCTCATTAATATGGAAATATTAAAAAAAGCAACAAATCTGTTGAATTTAATCTCATGAAAAAACGTTTTTAAAATTTGCATTTAAAACAAATGCATGACCTTCACAAAATCCATTCATTCCCGAGGGAGGGTTAAATATACTGTGTGCATACATGTATGACTATTCATCACAAAAATATGATTTAAAAACTGCAGCATTACTAACTATAAGCTTCAGATTTCTCCAAAGGTGACACAGTGAGATTATTTATGGACAGTTTCAAGCTGCTTCACATAACCACACATGTACAGTACTTTTACGAGTACGCTTTAGCAGTATGTTGATGACATCATTTGGGGGAAGAAGTGGAATTGTGAAGTCACCATGGCTTACTGCTTCATGGGAATTTTTATTTCAAAAATACACTGTAGCTCATACACTAGAGACATCCATGCTTATTACAAATAGCACTGCTACATGTAAATCAGCAAGCAAATCATATTGACCTAGTGTAAAAAGGTAATATACAATACAACTACATTATGGAATTAAATTCTATGGTACTACAGCCCTAACAGCCCCAAATCCTCCGATTTCAGTATGATTTACATACACCATAGGGGGTTAGAGTTAAAGGTTCCACCCCTACCCTATCACCCCATTCATGTCCTACTCCACCACATACATACATGACCATCAACCAATCCATCTCTTACTCCACCCTATACCATCAACCAAATTCATCTACAACTCCACCCCCATACCATCAATTAATCAATCTCCTACTCCACCCCCATACCATCAATTAATCAATCTCCTACTCCACCCCCATACCATCAACCGATCCATTTACTACTCCACCTCCATACCATCAACCAATCCATCTACTACTCCACCCCCATGCCATCAACCAATCCATCTACTACTCCACCCCCATGCCATCAACCAATCCATTTACTACTCCACCTCCATACCATACCATGTACATTGTGCATGCAGTGCAGGAGGGTATACATGTACATTATGCAACAATAAATTTTTCAACATTTGGGAGTTCAGTTTTTGATATGTATTGCTCAGTAAAATGGGTGTGACTAATGCCCGAGCCACAGGCTGTACTGTTGGTAATCAGAATCTCTCTTGGAAATGGTGAGATGCAAATACTGAGATTGGACTAATCCAATAGGTCCTACTGAGTGCATGAGCTGTGCAACAATGGTAAAGGCAGTGTTTACAATAAAGGGAGACAGCCAACAGTTATGAAATGGGGAGGAGGTGCATTCAAAGTGGATGTGAAACCTGAACAAATTGGTGGCTTTATTGCTCAACAAACAAACACAAGTATAACCGACTGGTCTGATTGGGAATTATCTTGTATTACAACAAAGTGATACATGTACCGGTATATATAATTACAATGTGAGAAAAGAGCCGTAAATGTGCTGATGGCAGAGGAATAAATGCAACTCTCTTAAGGCTTTGCACACATTTTTCATCTAGTGCATCTGATACACATCTAAAGCTAGACAATGAAATGTGAATGTTCATTCTTAGTTACCAGAATCACAGATAGAAAGGAAAATTTTCAATAAAATCTTTTAAAGGTGAAATACATGTAGGTCTCATACTTCTGACATGTTGACAGCTTAAGTTGCCATGCAGGATACATACATAACGCTTACACTATTTGAACAAATTCTGTCAAGGCATGGAGGAAGGAACACATTCCTTCCTCCATGGTCAAGGTGACAGAATTGAGTGGACACTATTTCACATTGACAGTTTTCGATGCAACAGAAGAACTGGCACATTCACTATCATAGCTGTAGGCCTGTGTAGGCCTATGTAAAGTGACAAATTATGACAACATTTCAGACAACTTTGATGAAATAGTTTCACAACCTGATATTCAAAATTCAACCCTTGTGCTTTTCCTCAGTTTTGCTTTTTTGAAATTCCCCCAGTATGAGTGGAAGTCAACTTGCGTGTCTCAGAAATTGCGCAGGTGCTTTTTGAAGACCGCGCACATAGGTCTACGGCAAAATAGACAAAATTTCATGTCGGCCTCATTGCTTTGTCATTCCTAAAAAATATGGATTCTGGCATGTCTGGGGCATATTTGTTTGAAATACACAATGCAGAACAGCTCACGTTTCTCTTATTTTTTTCCCCATTTAATTTCTGGTCAGTAGAAATTAACTTTAGTTTGCTGTATGACTGACGACTAAACTGAATTTACAGCAGCCAAAAGACGTAGTACTACAACTTCGTATAACACGTTAACAGGTACATGAATGAATACGTGACGTGTGTCTGTGAATGACCCGAACCCTATTCATAGCCCGCTACTAACAGTGACGTACGTTGTGTGCAGAGCTTTTTCTCTCGAAAGCTTACTTCTTTCAGCTCATCACAAACATCCAAATATGAAAACATATGGACTATTTTAAGGTACGATGGTTAAAGATGAAACACTGAAAAATGCTTACTTTCAAGGTACAGAAACGATGCAGATAACGCTCACGTTTAGCTCTTCATGACCATAGTTACGACAGCGGCAGCACAGATACGTACATGTACATGTACGTACGGATGGCAGCTAGCTAGCTACGTCCTGCGGATCGTGGATAGCTAGCTAGCAAGCTGGCTCCCCAGAAAAGTGAATGAGTGTAGCTGGCCATAATATGACATCCAATTGGTTAACTGATAATCACATGACTTCATTATGAAAAATTTCTTGCGTTTGATTGGAGAAAAGGGGGAAAAACAACGTGCGTAAACTGACGTAATCCAGCCTCCTGACCTTTTAACTGATTTGCATAAATACATTGTGTCAGACTTTCCCCTAAAAATCACACGAGAGAAAAAGAAATATGGACATTTTGGAGTGCATATCATTTAATTACTTTTAGGTTTTGTATGATATGAAAATTTTGACAGACCGTTCCACAAAAAGGACATTTTTGGGCACCTCTTGCGTGTCATAATAACATGACTGGGCATGTTGATGTCGTTCACCGTGTAAATTAACATAATTCAGCTAACAACCAATCAGCTTGCGGCATTGATTGAACTAAAATAGCGCTTGTTACTTGGCGTGGCAATGTAAATGCTATGGGTGCTGCTCATCCGTGGCACGATGAACAAACGTCAGCGGGGATTTCCCACACCCAGACTGAACCTTCACGTTACACAGGAAAATCTTTTCCTTTGCTGTCTTGACTTCTCCACCATAGACATATGTTTATGTTCTCCACATTTTTATAAGATCTTAAACTGAACGCTTTTATGTGATGAATATGTGATTTTAAAAAATGTTTGGAGAAGAAATAACATCTAAGTTTTCCATTCCTTTTTCAACCGTCCCGTAGTCTTCTCACTCTTCGAAACAGTGTTCTCTTTTCATAAACCCCAACCCCGTATTTGTTATATGTACATGTAAGGCTTATAACATGTAATTGAGCCTCCTTTGCCAATCGTCAATTACATTTTATCTGATTTGTTATATATATTTATATACATCTCTTCTCTTATGCGTGTATTTTTTGTATTTATTGTGTCTTTATTGCTAACTCCTTTACTTAATTAAATCAATTTCTTACATCATTTTTATCCCTTTCCATTTTTATTTCTACTTTTATTCATTACCAGTGAGTCATCTCCTTTTATTTCTTATATATCGAAATATTAATATGTTCTAATGTATTATTTTATATATTCTTACTTATATTTATGTATTTACACTTACCTTGATGAGGAGCAGCAGGTCTTCTTCTCATTTTAAGTACTATTTCAGCCTCCTGTTTGTCAATTATGCTTTAGACTTTCTTTACATTTATTGTACACTTACCTAGTGTTTTCTTAAACATGTATTATTTTGTATTTAAACTATTTCTTGTGTCCTTATTTATTGTGTCATTATCATTAATTGCTTATTCATTTAACATAATTTCATCTTTAAATGCTTACATTATCTTTATTCATTTCTAGTACTTCCTTTTCTTTATATAATATTTTTAAGTTCTAACTTTTGGCTTCAAATACTTTTATACATGTATATTAGAATTTATATTTAAATTTATTTACTCTCAACACAACTTGATGAGGAGTGGCAGATCTTCGGCCACAGTGGTTGTCATTCCTTTTTCCTCTCCAATGCCCATCTTGTATGTGATGAAAAAGAATTGGCATGAGTAAATAATAAATATTATAACTGTTGGTCTTGTCAGTGTCGGTCGTTAACGCGATCAACCTACATTATTGCTGAAAATGTAACTGAGACCCGAGGGCACAAATTAGAAGTCCTTAAGCTTGAAATTAATTTCACTAAATTAGTTACACGTGTAAGTGATCATTTTAATTTTAAAAAATCCTCTTATTCGTTTACACTTTCTCTCATGTGAAGTAATTTTCGATGTCAATCACAGACAGATGCAGCATCAATATCTGGTTGTTTCCATATGAGAAAGTGTTCAACAGAAATCAATGTCATACCATATATGTCTTTTCTGTTATTTTGTTCCCTCTGCTTTCTTTTTTATTTTATTTTTTTGGGGGGCTCTGTTGTTTTGCTGACAGCTCATCATACAAAGGAGTTTTGAACTTTTGCACAGATCTCATTTGCTGTCCTGCTACTAACACCGATTTGAGGGTGAGTGGTCAGAATCGCACTGTTCCCCTCCTTCTGCCAAATATTAAAAATATTTGCAGAACTTTCATCCTATATATAATACTTTGGTCATATACATTTGTTTGGTCTTATAAATAAATTGGTTTTGTCCTCTATCCGCTCCGAGCGAAACACCGCATAAGTGTGCCATGAGGCGTGCAAATATTTGCGTTTCACGCAAAGCACGCCAAGTACACTTAACTAATTTACAGCGGCACGTATGGTCTTTGCGTACACACAGAACACGTGCAAGAACCCGCCTGTAGCCACCTGTCTTCCTTTTGCTGATTGGGGGTGCACTTCAGCTCGGAGCAGCTCAGGAAAAGTTTATTGGATTAATACTGGTTTTGTTTCACTTTTACAGAAACATGTACATGTATATCAAGTATCAAACTATTTTACTGTAAATGGAAATAATTTATAACATATAGTTGAGAAATTCCAAAGGTGAAAAAAAAACATCCAATTACTACCTCAATGCTATTTGTATAGTACAGAAGCTCAAAGTGACCATCTGCATTTCTATGATGTATTTCTTGGAAAGATGGAATACTGAGATTAAAAAAAAGACTTTCTACGATCTCATTTGTGGAAAAACATTTTGTATCTTGGAAAGACGTCTTTCCCTGATATCATTATCTTGGAAAGACGTCTTTCCATTATTGTATTACGGAAAGAAGTCTTTCCACTACTTTGTATCTCATAAAAGACGTCTTTCTTTTATATTTATCTCGGAAAGACATCCGACAATCTTTATTGTGATATGATATCTTGAAAACACGTCTTTCCTAGACAAGATATTAGAGAAAGACGTCTTTCCAAGGTGGTATATTTATGGGGAACCCTTTATAACTTTATTAGAAAAAACATCAAATGACAATAATATATATATGTATATGATGAAACTAATATATACATATATCGAAACTGAATTAAATATTAAATGAAACAAATATATAAAGGACGAAACTTATATATATGTATATATACACACACATAGGCATATATACATATATGTATACAGTCATACATGTAACCATTGCAGATGGTGGGCATACTTCCCAAACTATTAGACAGAGGACAAGTCGTCCATGTAAGTGCAGCCTATAACACCGAGGACATCACACACAAGTTCTTGGTTGTTTAAGCCGCTAAAATTAGGTTGCGTTATTTGCATACTACTGTAGGGTTCATCATCAATATGGTAAAAAGTCTCAAGAGAATGGCTGGTGCAGCATATCATAGCTTTACTTGGCTACTGCTTCATTGTGTTAGGACAAAAGTCTTTGATGTTTCTCCAAGTACGGGTCTGCAGTGCCACAGTGCAAGCTGCTTCGATGTCCAGCTTGCCAGGAACTTTCCTCAACTGGAAGAATCTGCGCAGGTCTTCTTGAATGTCTGTCTTCTCAGCTGCAGTCCAGGGATGGCACTTCACTCGTCTCGATGACGGAGAGGGCTCCCTTCTGTGTGATGCAGCATCACCAGGAAGCTGTCCTATTAATGCAGAAGCAAGAAAAGGGCATTAGAAATGTAGATGACAGCTCAGCAGACAGCCAGCCCGTGTGACAGACAGAGACAGACTGACAGACAGACAGAGAGAGTTGCCAAATCTTACAGTTTTCGACAGATTCATGGAAGGAGTCTTCACTGCTGTCACTGCTTTCCCCATTGTCACTGCTGTTCTCTTCACAGGTGAAGCCTTACGCAAATAAACCAAAAACATTGAAATCAGTTAACCACTTCCTGTCAGGGCTTTATGTGCGTGGCTGAGGTCTCTGAACTCGGACAAAGGGAACAGGGTCTTAAAAAAAGACCGTACTCGGAACAAAAGACCACGCTGCTGGGAATTACTGACATTTTTTCACTCTCAAAAGTGGAGCTAATCCAGCCTTGTTTTGAAACAGTATACCACCGTTTGGGGAATTTGGAGTGAGTGGATTTCCACAGGGAACAAAAGCGCTCCACCACCACAGCAATGAGCCACACAGCACCGCTACATGCTAATCTGCCCCTATTGAAAAGAGGTCAGCAGCACACTGAGCCAGGTTCGTTAACAAAAGAAAGTTATATAACACTGCCCAATCTGGGCTTGTTTTACAAGGTTGCAAGCCTGGCTGAAATACCCCATTTTGTCTGTCAGGCTAGAGCGGACACCACACAGTCCTTCACATGTTTGTAAGTGTCCAGTAAATGAAGATGGGAATTTTTGAAGAATTTTGAAAAAAATGATACATATCCCGGCCCAGCATCATCAACATTGATAACTGCCCCGGCAGGAAGTGGTTAAAGTACACATACATTTTGGCCCTTTCTTTCTTTGTACTGGTCTGTTCTTCCTTTTTTTGGGGGGGGGGTGGTTTGGAAGAAAGATAATGTTTCTGAGAGGGTATGATGCCCTACACAGTGTGAGTCTGGGTTTGGTTGACTTGGTTGGAAGTCACTTGACTTGGGTAAACGGAACATGGGAAACATGGTTTGAGTTGGGTAGTCGGAACATGGGAAACATGGTTTGAGTACAAGGTGCCCTTACCTCCAGTTACATGCAGATCGTCCAAGGATTTGCCCTGCTGGGAAGACAGGTTGCCCCTCTCCAAACTCAGGAAAAGTCTTGACAGTTTGGTGACCCACTGTACAGTATCTAGCAACTGGTAGTATTTATGATGTACCTGCAGATCATGGCCCAGGAAGTTGGCTAGAGTTTCAAGCTGATGTTCCTTTAATGCAAGAATTGGAGATGCAGTTGCTACATGTTTATGGAGTTTAGTGGACCGGATGCTGGATGCCTTGTCAAGGCCAGCCTTATCTGCATATGCCCTTAAACAGTCACTCCCTCGCTGGTCTGATTTGTCTGGCCCGAGCACCCTGAAGGAGTTAAAGTTCCCGGTTGCCAGCTTCATGAAGGAACAACGACATTTGGACTGCATCAGCATTACTCAAGAGAATGGTGGCTTGGTTGTGTTTTCCTTGGGACAGCGTTCTGTGTGCGTGTGTGGACACAAGGTCTCGCCAGTTGAATTCACACAACTGCAGAAACTCTTCCACACGTTCTGCTTTGTGTTTTTGGCTGGACTCTGGGGCACTTCCTTTCAAGACGAGTGCACACTTCTTGACGGAATAACCAGCCTTCAGCGCTTGTGACGGAACATCGTACAACTGTTTGTCTTCCCTGAAGCCACAATATCATGCATGGCCTTGACAATATCAGGAAGGTGGTGCGGATGGACAAATGATTCAAGTGATGCATTTAGTTGCTGGGTGTTCTTTCGGAGTTGTATGACGAGTGGACCCAATTTACGTACCCTGTTACGGATGTAGCCATGCTGATCTACATCGTGCCCTAGTTTATGTATTCACGCTTGGCTAATTCAAAAATCAACGTGTTATTCTTGACTACCAAAGCCACATCATCTCTCTTCATTGGACTAAGAACCTGGTGTAACTGGAACGACACGCCAACAGGAGGAGGTTTCAACAAATCACTCTTGTGAGCAACCCGTCCACCCACATGAGCCCTCTTTACCAGTGCTGTCAGTCTGTGGAGGGGGTACTCGCTTCAAAGGGCACATGTGTCACAACAAATCGATACGCACGTAACAGCCGTAACAATATATGCATGGTCCATACGCATGGGGAGATACCTTGCAATTTGGCCTATACCCAACAACAAGCACACTACGACCTTCACACAGAACCTGGCAATTGTGCCCATGATTACCTATATTGCGAATTTTCAACAGAAGTTTCTTACGCACACTAACGTTGGGCTCACCGGCGATCTCGATGACTTCTCTTTCTTCCTTGTGACATGACTGGAGATGACGGGGGAGCTTGGCCTGGGATACCTCCAAGTAAAAGCAGAAGTGTTTCTTGTCCCATTTCCTGCAGCCAACCTCATTACTGGTCTGCATTACGATCACACTGCAGTTCTCACAGACGTCAGACGTGTCATCACTTGGAGCAACAGATGTAGTAGGCCTATTGCTGGAACCGGTGGACAGCTCAGCCATACTGTTCAAACTTCTCCGCTTATGGTCATGATGGTAGACGGGTCAGCTGGCAAGAAATCAAATCGAACATCAATTTCATTATACCACCCGTCTTCTTTTAATTTGGTGTGGACTGGTAGGGGGGACAGGTACCTGACTCCAAAGAGCTACATCCGCCCCCAAAAAATAAAACACAATTAGAACCCCAGATACTGACAAAAGAAAAGTCTTTACTTCAGGCTGGAAAAATGTGCTTTATAAATCTGTGGAACTGGATTATGTGACTGAGCTTTTCGGACTGCATACATGTACCTATTCCACAGGTACATTCACTGTAACTGCGGTATAAGATCTATGTTAGCCTATCAACAACATGGGGGGGCTAGTAGTATTAGGAAGCAACTTAATACTAGCCCGTGAAACCTGGTGTGCTACTTTTTTTTTTAGTAGCTGGGGTGACCAATGATTCATGAAGATGGGACAATGCAATACACCATTTAAGACATTT